GGCAGCAGCTGGTGAGTGGGGGCTTTTTTTTTTTCCAAAGACCCAGGAGCTGGGGCAGGTGAGGCAGCCAGTGAGAGCAGGCGGGGGATGGGGCCTGTGTGATTTGGAGATTTGGCCAATTCAGCTGCAGCCAAATCTCTGAATCAGATTAGGCTGAATCGATTCGGGACGGTAATTCAAATCACCAAATCAAATCACTGTCCCCTGAATTGGTCGAATCGAAATCCAAAGCAAATTCTAGCTACTTCACACAGGCCTAATGTATAGTATCCTTTTTAAAAGATGGAATCTGTAAAATACATGAAATTGCAATTGTTATTGTTTAGGAGTTTGGGTTTTTTTGGTGGGGGTGCAGAATTAAATTTCTTTTATTTTCTTATAACATGGGACTAAATAAAAATATATAAATTGAAAATAATGGTTAAGTATTCAGGTCTTCCAAAGTACATTTGCAGCTTACACAAAGGTGTCTATGGACTTCCATATGCAGTAACCACTATCAATGGTTGAAAAATGAAAGCCATCTGAAACCCACTGACTTACAGAGTTTGTTTAGTTAGCAAGACAGAAAGCATTACCATTTCTGTAATTGGTTCAAATGAGTTTCTGTAGATTATGCTGACTAATCTATTTGTTTTGAAGTTTCACATGAATTATGTTCTATGGCATTTTCTTTTTTGTTCAAGAACAAACTAAGACTCTGTATCTCTGCAGATTTCCTACATTTTTGTTCCTAGTAGCTAACTAAACTAACTTGGAAGTGACACTCAGGCTTGTAACTTAAGATCAGACAAATACAAATGTTTGGTATAGTGCAAATCATGTATCACTGTTACATGATAGAATATTTCAAATTGTAGTCATATCACCATGTAGAATGTGCCACACTATTATCATAAAAATGTAGCAAACTGGATAGATTTGATAAATAAGATTCTTTTTCATTGGGTGATCCAATATACTAATATTCAGTGTCAAAGTATAATATTGTTGTGAATTATCATTGTTGTTGTTCGTAGTAGTAGTAGGAGTAAGTACTTACATGATGATAGCTCTCAACAGCCACAGTTGAGGTAGATACTGTGTAAACACAGAAAGAAGACAATCCCTGCTCAGATGAATTTGCAGTGTAAAAAGTTTGAATAAATGCACTAGAGAGACTCACATAGCTAATCCCTAGAGTTGTAAATACTTCATATTTGACATCCAGGCTTTTGCTCTACAGGTTTTCATATCTCAAGGTCAAGTCAGTGTGTAACTGGCATGAAACTGCAGACATGCAGCTGTACCAAGGCAATATTACAGAAGAGGAAATACACAAGGAAATTAAGATATATATTAACAGCAGTACAAGCTATCCTGAAAGACATTTTAATGTTAGAAAACATGACTGATGCTTAGAATAAGCTGGAATATACTGTAACCCATTATATTACCTCAAAATCTCATGTTTTTCTCACTGACAGTCATCATATTTTAAACTCCACCTACTTTTCTTCTTCCCAGAAATAAATGCCTTACTGAACTTGGCCATCCATATGAAGGACATTGGCTATAGTCAAGTCAGCTGGATATTTTAATTAAGCCTAACAAAATTAGTCAAAAACCAAAATGGGATACGGTCTCCTACCTCTCTTAAGGTCTTTTGAAAATCCAAAATGCATTGCCTTAACAAAGAGATGGTAATGCTTTTCCATACACAAAGAGTTTATTCATGTATCTTTCATTTCATCGGCTCTAAACATGGCAATTGACCTTGAGAGACCTTAAAACTCTAAAAGGGTGGGACAGAGAAAATGTCATGATCCCCATGTAGATGCATACACCACAATAGGCATGTTCCTTTGTAGTGATTATGACTAACTTTAGAACATAATTCTTAGCATGCCACAAGTTAAATAAGAAAGGAGGCAAATTGTTATATGACAAATTCTTCATTGGTATTTAAGTACTGTTTCTTTTAAACTTGTAGCAGAAGCCAGGCAAAAAATTCTAGGGAGAAGCTCTGCAGTGAAAAAAAATATTTTCCTTATTCTAATAAAATGTTATAAAATATTTTTTACCATTTTCACACAAAATTTTCCCAGTGAGATTTCCCTTTGTTTCTATAATAACAGTTCAGGCTTAAGATTTTCTAGTTTGGTATTGCCTATATTTCCTGCCCAGGAGGATTTCTACATTCTACCTGAGTATTTCCACATCCAACAGGGTCCTGCAGCTATGGAGGTAAACTAGAAACCAGAATGGAAAATCTGACTGTACAGACGTTAGTGGCAAGACTCCAGTTGAATTTAGTAGGACCAAGACCTCACCAATAAGGTTTCTGCAGCTCATAAGCAGGTCACTATTTGTATTTTGATCCAGCTTCTGAATTCAAAAGCAAAGCTCCTGTTGACTTCAGTGGGCACATTTACACATGCATTTACTCCAGCCTAGATTTACAGCTCAGTAAGTGACTGCACAGTAAGAGTTCTTGGGTAGGTATGTACATCTGTAGAGACTAGGCAGAAAATTTGCTGCCAGGTCCCTGCAGCCTTCAATGCAACCCTGTGGCCACTGGGAGGAGCTCCAGCCTCTGGCTGCACCTGCCAGCAGCCCGGCCACTTTCTTTAAAAGGCAGACCCACTCTCTGCTCTCTGGCAGCCTCTTTCTTTGCTCAGAAGCAGCACAGGAAGTGCAGAGGCAGCACATGGCAGCTTTGTCTCTGCCTACGCAGTCTTCCTGCGCCATGGCTCCCCAGCCCCTGGCAGCAATGAACAGCACCCCAGTCAGGATCCTGCTGACTGTTGTGATCACCCTGCTGGCCTGCCATGCTGACCAATGGCTGCCCACATCCATCTCACCGTGCCCAGCTCCCCCATGACCAGCCACCACCTGCCCACCTGCAGCACGCTGTCCAAGCACCACCGCCTGCGGTGCAGCTGCCCCCACCAGAGATGCCAACAAGGGGCTGCAGGATGCCACTGCTGGGGCTGCTGTCATCCTCCTGAGCCTCCAGCCCTGCCGTCTCTGGGCCCATCATGCCAGCCAGCACTGGTGGCACCACCTTGTCCAGCAGACCTGGGATGACGAACAGTGGGTGGATGCCTTCCGTATGACTGGGTCACCTTCTGGGACCTGCTTCACCAGCTGTGGCCCCACGTGGAGCTCCAGGACACTGGCATGCCCTTGGCCCTCCCCACTGACACCTGCATAGCTCTGGTACTGCTGAAGATGGCCACGCCCACCAGCCTCCAGTATATGGGACACCTATTCCGTATGGGCAAGAGCACTGCTGGGGAGGCTGGCCTGGAGGTGTGTGGGGCCCTCCAGGATGTGCTGGAAGATGCTGTTCTCAGTGTTCACGACCCCCAGGTGGGGGCAGTGTTCCGCACATTGGGGTCTTCCCAGTGAATTGTGTGGATGGGACCCACAAAGCAGTCACTTTCCCACCCCATGGAGTCTGGCCATATTACAGCCACAGGGGATTCCACTCTGTAGTTCTGCAGGCCATGGTGGACCACTGTGGGGCCTTCACCCATGTGAGTGCCAGCTGGGTGGGCAGTACACACAATGCCCGCGTGTTCAGGAACTCCAGCCTGGTGGGACTGGTGTAAAGCAGGCACTTCATGCCAGTGTTGCTGAAACTGCAGCTGGATGCTGTGGCCATCCCGTGCCTGCTCACTGGGGACCCTGCTTACTTGCTCCTGCCCTGGCTGATGAGGCCCTACACTGGTCACCTGGACCCCTTCCAGGCCCACTTCAACTGGTGTCTGGGCTGGACCCACACCCTAATAAAGTGCACCTTCAGCCATTCAAAGGCCATTGACTCTCCCTCACCGCCTTAAGGTTGCTGAGGAGAACCTCCCCCAGGTCATCATTGCAGCCTGTGCACTGCATCATATCTGCGAGGCCCAGGGAGAGCTGTTCTATGAGGCATGGGCGGAGGAGGCACAGCGGGCAGAGGCAGCCTAGCAGCAGAAACACCTCCTGTGGCACCAGGAACAGCGGTGGTTTCCCTACACCGAGGTGCCAGCAGTGGCAGGCATGCATGGGACTGCCAGCCTCAGGACAGCGTCCAGAGTCCAACAGTCATTGTTCGTGGACTCTATGGCCCAGCCCAGGATCCTATTTTGATCTGCGACCACTCCATGGCCAGGAGCTCAGCCTGGAATACCTCCTCCCAGGTGATGTCCTCTGCCTGCTACCTCTGCTCCTGGGCTAAGTCCTCCTGCTGCCAGGCACATGTCATCCACCTGTTCCTCAGCCACTGCCACCAACCGCTGGAGGAGGGTCCTGTCCTGTGTGTGCCTCTGGAACAGCCAGCACATTCAGAGGGCCCCAGTGGTGGGTGTCATTGTTCCTCAGCCTGCATCACCTCTGGCCACTCCGGACTCTCTTCCATGTCCAATTGTTAGGGCTGCAGAGCCAGGAGACAGAAGCCTTTTGTGAGACTTTCCAACATGTCAGAGATTAGATACTCTGCATCAGAGGTCGTGTACTGCCTCAAATTAGGGGTTGGATATGCAGGGGTGCCCAGGGACCATGGTAAGTCATTCAGGCAAGCCTAGGCCCAGGCGGCTGCCAGCCAAGCCCCCCATCCCTGCATGCTCCCCTGGGGCCAGTGGCCCGCTAGGTGCTGGTCACAGGCAGCCTGTGTCCCCTGCCCTGTTCCCAGGGTGGGACAGGCCAGACTCCTGGCAGCACCTGCTGCCACAGCTGCAGACTCCACTGCGTCCACCGTCTCCCCCACTGCAGGCCAACCGCTCTGCTGTGTTGCTGCACAGCCCACAGTGCCCAGGCTCAGGGCATGTGGAGTGTCCAGACAACTGGGATGAAGAACTTGCTGCACCTGTGCCCTCCCCACTGGAGGCCTCTCCAAGGAGGTACCCTGGGGCCAGCACACACCCCCACCATGCTGCCGTTGTGCCCTAAGTGTGCCCATGCTGTGCATGCCCCAGCCAGTGCATGATGAGCTGTTTTTGCAAGCTAAGAGGTACATAACCCACTTTGCCCTGCTGCTGCTGATCCTTATGGTGTCCCGGCTGCACCTGGTATGGGACCATGAGCTATGACAGTGTGGGGGGCAAACCTGGGCTGCCCCACAACCTCCACCACCACCTGGAGGGCTACCTGTGGCAGTGCTCAGGGAGGTCATCATCATTGACACCTTCCTCAGGGTGTGAAAGGCCTGAGGCCACCCAGCTTCAGGTAGAACTGTGTCCCACCTCTCCCCATGCTGTGGCAGGGGAACCTGAGGTCAGGGGAGTGTGGGCAGGCCAGGCAAAGAGAGGGGGCCCAGGCAGGGGCCAGGGGCCAGAAGCAGGGATGGGGAGGGTCCTTCCTCCAATGTGGGGCTTGCCATGTGACTAGGGTTGGTGAGTATGGTGGCTCAGCATGGTTCTCCCCATCAGCGATGGTGTCCAGCTGTGCCCAATGCCCTGGTCCCACAGGGCGCAGTGTGCAGGTGTCCGGCTGGGGGACCTCTGTCATGGAGGAGCTGGCATTGCTGATAACTGGCAGTGACAGGGCTAGTTGTTCCTCATGGCAGGACCTGGGGCTACGCAGCTGTCAAGGCAGGTGCTGGCCAGGGCTCCCTGAGCTTCTGGTGGACTGTGCAGCTGGAAAGCTGGGTGGGACAGGACACTGAACACCCGAAGGTCCCTCCTCCTGTCACTGAAGGGGTCAGGGTGGAGCAGGGGCTTGGGCATGCCATCTGTGCTGGTGAAGACTGCATGGTTGTGGCCTGGGTCCTGGGGTGCCAAAATGCAGGGCAGCTGCTGCAAAAAGGGCATGGTTTTGTGGGCACAGCTGGACCGACGATTGTGGTTGGTCACAGCCATCCACTATGCCCACAAAGTCTTGACTTTTATGCAGCACTGCTATGCCAACTGGAACTGCTTACGCTCTTGCATCCTACTCAGCCAGGCTCCATAAATGTGGGCATTGAAGCACTCTCCCTGCTCAAATTGGTGCAGCACCTCTGCATTGCCCCAGAGCACCACAAAGTCACCAGCCTCCTCCTGGCTCCAGTTGGTGTCCTGGGTGGAGGGCATGGGTGTGCGCACGCAGGTGGTGCTGGGCCTGGTGAAGAGGAGGAGGCCATCGTGGGTCCTGCATCAGCTCTCTGGGCCCTCACACAGTTCTCCCAATGTTGTCAGCCCTTGGCAGCTGCCAGCAGTGCCCTGGACAGGGGCATGGCATGGGACTGGCAGCCATGTGGCAGAGGCTGTGCTCCTCAGCATTGGCACAGGGCAGACTGCTGGGGGTCTGCAGCAGGCAGGTGGCCCTGGTCCTGCTGTTAGAAGCAGCCCGCAGGCAACTCTGGTGCTGACAGGCTGGCCCAGGAGCTGCAACAGCCTGCAGCAACTTTCTGCAACCACCTGGCTTGACAGCAGTGCCCTGGCAGCCACAAGGCTGTGCAGGGCCAAGCAGCAGTGCAGGGCTCCAGAGAAGCAGGCACAGCCCAGCTGTGGCCTGCCCAGGGAACACACAGAGTCCACAGTGATGTGTGCCCCAAGTTGCAAAATGGCTGCAGGCTTTTTATAGCCTGCAGGCAGGGGCTGTCAGTGAGGCTCCCAGCCTGGTGCCCTGGTGATGGCTTCAGGTTCACCCCCTAGTGGCTGGGCAGACACAGCAGCAGATTTGCTACCAGGTTGTGTCTACATGTTCATTACTGTGCAGTAATTAACCGTGATTTAATTTGCTACCTGCATTTGCACAAGTGATGCACAAGTGCTGGGTGCCCTAAACAACAGAAAAGCTTCTTAGAAACTGTTTATACTGCTACATCCTAGAAGGTGCATACATTGCACACTGCAATGTAATGCAGAGGTAGTTAATACAGAGCTCCATGCTGCTGCAGTAAGACTGCTTCAGAGACTGAGGCGAGTAGTTTAAAGCCAGCTTGTGTATCTCTAGACTGCACACTGCAGCATAAACGTAGTCTGACCAGCACAAAGGATAACTGGAGCACTGAATCTTTCTGTGTGTGCAGTCCACTCTAGGACTAACCAGCTGAAGTGTTGTGCTTTTTAGACACAAATAAATCCAAGACTTCAGCTTTGGTGTTGTATCTCTAATTTACCTCCAAGATGACACAAACAGCAAGCAACAGATTCTGACCTTGTGTGGAATTTAACACATTTGTGTTATGGGGAAAAAAATTGTACAAGTCTAACTCAAAGCCTCTACTGTTTGATATATTTCACTTTCACTCTGTGTTTACAAATGAATATTTGGAGGGGAAAAAAATCCCAGTGTTCTTCTGTACAAATCTCACAGATAGCAACTGAACTGTAGAATATTTTTCTTTGAAAACCCATGAAACAGCTTTACTATATAGTGGTTAATACTACTTTATAATATAAAACTCTGTGCAACCTTGGAACTTCCATAGGTATTTCACTCCTTTTCATTTTATTGTATGTCCTACAACTACTTTGTATTGTACAGTCTGCAACTCAGCAGGGAGAAGAGAGAAAAGCAGCAGCTAGTGGCTTTTACCCTTGAATAGAGAGAAAGGTAATGTACTGTATGTAGATGGGTGGCAGTGGCACTAGGTGCTTGATCTCAGGAACTTACCTTCAGCAAGATTTCTACATAGAAAATTTACTGCATGACAGAATTAAGTCTGAAAATAAAAAAAACCTATGCAAAATAATACAAAAGTAAAACATCCTTCACATGCACAATAAAGATTAAAATTTCCAAAAGAAACTCATGGGCTAAGCACAGATAGTCAAAAAGTCCAAGGCCGAATCCATTCAGTCTTTGCAGGTTAGTTTAAACTGCAGAGATTAAACTGACTAACAAGTGAACAGACTTTTATTTTTTGCAGCCAGGTGCCTACAGTAACTCAGACCAGGAACCGGGGGATGCTAGAGCATGGCTCTCTGGTACATAGCCAGCTTCCTTTTCCTGCTGCCCCTGAGGTCTCTGGGATTTGTAGTCCAGAATCCCAGCAGGAGGATTCTGCAAGGTTGCTCATTGCTTCATCTTCCTGCTTCCAGGTGCCTCTGGGATGTGTAGGCCACAGTCACAGTCAGCAGTAAGTTTAGCAGGGCAGGGCAGGGCAGGATAGGACAGCTCTCTACTTGGGGGAAGGGGGATTTAAGGGAGTCCCTGCTTCCTCCTAACCCCTGCCACCTCCACAACCCTTCTCTGCTGCAGCAAACAGCACAGCCTGGAAAGCATGCTGGGATGGTGGGGGACTGTGATTTAACTTGAACCAGGAAGGGATCAGGGATAGAAGTTTCATAAACTGGTTTGACCCAAATTAGTTAAGTTTGATACTACTTTCAACCAGGTGTATCTTAAACCAATTCCAGCCATTTTGAAACTGGTTTATGTGCACTGAGCTTCTGTTCTGTTACAGGTTTAAACCAGTTTCTGATGATTTAAACCAGTTTATGTGTAACTTCTGTCCCTAGCCATGGAAGGCAAGCAGATAGGCATGCATCCTTTGCCCCAACTGAAATGCAAGGCACTATGTGAAGCAGGAATCACTGAGTAAATCAAATCTGCTTACCCCTAAGGCTATACTATGGCCACTCAGCTGTCCTTGGACGTCTCCAGAGATTGTTGCTGAGAAACTGGGAGGTATGCTGTGATGTCTGGTCACCAATTCCCTACTAGGGAGGAATATAACATCACCTACTCTGGCACTTTGTAGCATGCTTTACCTGGGAGCAGCCTGTACATTTGTATAATAACTAAGTACTTCAAATTAGGGCAGGGTTTGAATCACTTCACTGATATGCCTGCTCATACCCCAGGTTTGTCCTCTTTAGCATGCACACTGCAGCCAGATGACATTTTCTCATCATCATACCCTCTATGTTGATACATTATTCTAACAAGGGTTAAAAGGAAATTTAGTATAAGCTTTTGTGAGGTCTCTAATTTCTAGGTGTAGGACTAATGGTACACATAGGTTGGTTGCTGGCATGGAAAGTGTGGCACTGCAGAATCTCCCAATCTATTGGCAGGTAGCTCACACTGACAGATGGCTCGTAATGTAGCATGGTTGTGATTAAATTGGTAAGTCCATATAACATGATCTCTTACGAAGCTGATTTTACCTGCCTCACTAGTTTCAGTTGCTTGCTTTCTCAGAAATCTTGTGTTGTGAATTCAGAGCATTTTTGTATCTTTTTATTGTGTTTTTGCCAATTTTGAAATAAAAATTTAGCACTGAAAAATCATGGAGGCAGGGGACTGAAAAAAAATAGCATCACTAGTAAAAAAAAAAAAATTAATTGAAATAGATCATCTTTGAAGTTGAGCCATCTATCTTCATGAAGGCCTTGCAATGCTCCTGTTTTCTTTAGAACCGGCTTTTTGGACCTAAACTAAAGCCAGTGAGAATTTTGCAGTTGGCTAAAATCAGGTACTGTCCTTTGCAGTGTCTGTTCAAGAACATCTTTTTGAAAGGGGAAAGATTCTGTTTATGTTCTTATTTTTATAGGGTTCTTTGTGCCTGCTTGCTTTAGTTTACTCATGTGATTATTCTTATTTTTCAAAGGAAGTTCACGAATTGCTTTCATCTGTTTTCTTTTTTTATTCAGTCAACTATTTAAAAAATTCCCCTGCTCTCCAACACTATCACTTATAACGATCTACACTAAAAACAGTTATGTCCTCTTAAAACACCAGCACAATAGGACAGCAATATCTTCTGAGAAATAATTCATACTCTTACCGTGTCTTTAAATTATTTGAAATTAATAGCAATGTCATATAAATATCAGTGATCAGTTAGGTTCTTCTGGTCTCGTATTGTATGCAGTGGTACACACTTTATGGTATTATGGTAGTGTTGGAGTGATGCTGTAGCTGTGATGGTCAAGGAGATGTGCAAGAGATAAGGATTTCTGTGGGTGATACCTTTTATTTGACCAGCTGCATGGCTGGGAAAAGTTTAAACAAGGTTTCAGGTAGTAGGTGCCCTTCCTCAAGACTGAGAAAACAACAAGTACAGCTTGAGCTAAGCAGTTGCTGAAGCAATAGTTCATGTTAATCTCCAAACCTGCTTTTTGGGGGAGGCCTGCAAAAATATATTTGTTTTCTTCATGAAGATAATCAGCTCTGGTCCATTATGAACAAACCATTAATCATAATATAGACTGGGGCTTTGAGGCAAGGCTTAGATGACATTGTAATTCACTCTAACTGCCACTCATATGGTCAGAGGCCTGGATGCAAGGCCCTACGAGGAGAGACCGGGACCTAGATCTCTTCAGCCTTTGCAAGAGGAGGCTGAGAGGTGATCTTGTGGCTGCCTATAAATTCATCAGGGGAGGGCAGCAGGGAATAGGAGATGCTTTATTTACTAGGGCACCCACTGGAGTTACTAGGAACGATGGCACAAAGTGATGGAGAGCAGATTAAGTTGGACATTAAAAAGAATTTCTTCACAGTAAGGTTTTGCCAGAATCTGGAATGGGCTTCCAAGGGAGGTGGTGCTCTCTTCTACCTTGGGGGTCTTCAAGAGAAGACTGGACAAGCACCTGGCTGGGGTCATCTGACCCCGGTGCTCTTTCCTGCCCAGGGCAGGGGGTCGGACTTGATGACCTACTGATGTCTCTTCCAACCGTAACATCAATGAATCTGTGAAATTTGCTTTTTACCCAAATGTGCAAAGAGATCTTAAGGTCCTGCCTTCATATTGCTGACAACATGCTTGATTCTAATCTACAGTGGGATTACTTTACACCCTCCTGACAGTATAAAATGATGTTGAAACGGAAATAAATTGTATTTGCATTCACTTTAAGGCCTCTTTTCACTGCCAATGCAGGGCAAAGGGCCCTAGAAAATCAGACCCTATATCAGGGGTCAGCAGTGTTTTTGAGCTAAGTGCCAAAAACCCCCACAACCTGAACCTGGAAGATGCTGGCATGCCAGGGGCAGATGAGAGGGGAACCATGAGGGTACCGATCTTTGTTGTTGCAGTGCAGTCCCAGCCCTTTTCATGCCCTGCTCCCTGAGGCATGCAAGCAGCTGCTGCCAGCAAGGAGCGGGGCTGGGGTTCTGAACCCCAGGCCTTGTGGCTGCCTGTTGCAACCAGCCCAGGCTCTGGGAAGCCCCCTGTCACCCAGCACAGAGCCTGGGTTGCTCACAGCAGGTGGCAGGCAGGCTGCAAACAGCTGCACCAGTATCCAGAGCCCCAGCCTGGCTCCATGGCAGTGGCAGGGAATGGGCTAGGGTTGCACTGGCCCAAGCCCCTTCCCTGCCTTGTGCCCCAAGATGCACATGCAGCTGTGGCCGGCCACAGAAGGGATCCTAACCCTAGTGGACCAGTTGCAGCTTCCCAGCTGCCTGCCACATCTGGTCCAGGTTCTAGGCAGCTGCTGCCAGCCACAGAGCCCAGGGTGCTCAAAGCAGGGCTTGAAGCTACCCTGCCGCCTGCTGCAAGCAGCCTGGACTCCAGGGCCAGCAGTAACTACCTAGAGTCCAAGTTGGCTGTGGTGTGCTGAGCAAAATGGCCTCACATGCCCTATATTTTCTGACCAGCTATATAAATGTCTGTTATTTGGCAGCTGTTTAATCATGAGGGATGGAATGAAATTGGGAATAAAAAAAAATTATAGAGATCTGAATTTGAAATCATAAGACTATTATTGCTTGAGTATTTAATCAAGTTTTATCTTCTTGCAAAATCGAAAGATTTGTTTCTTCTTCTGTCTCTCCACAGACAGAAAAATGTCTGTGGTCTGGGGTATGGGTTATTGGTAAACTGGTGCCTGAGTGAGTTTGTTGTTAACTGGAATTTCATAAATTGTGTGCTTCTTTTTTTATTGTGTGGGAAAAGCACTTTATCTCTAAACCGATGAAGGACTTATGAGCACTCTCACTATCTTCTGCCCTGACTGCAAAGCTTTTTGGTGCATGCATAGAACAGGGAGATAAGATTTTGTGAAGGAAGGAACTGACTTTCTAAAATGGACTTGCTGAAGAAAACTGAGCTCTTGTAGCACTGAAGAGATTCTGGCAATTGTGTGTTGTCAAAAATCAGCAGCAACAGGTTACGTCTCTGATAGGCACATTACAAAATATGTTGCGACCTAAAAGCAAAAGTATGCAAAGTATCGCTTACTAAATTCAATATCGCTCTAATTTTTCACATTTAATTCTGGATTTGAAAATGAACATTTAAAAAATATTATGTTAGTTTCATCTCTAAAGAAAATGGGAAATAATTACCCTGGATGCTAAAGCTGTTGTTGCCTTCAAAGACATGCAAAAATAGTCCATCTTTTGTCATGTTGTGAAAAAATATTGTGTTGCTACCAGGAATAAAGCATAATTTAATGAACATGCTGAGTTGTGAAATATGCAACTAAAATTCTGTAAAACAAAACAGTTTCATACAAATATCTTTCAAATCAAACATCAAATATATTGCCTACCAACCTATCAGAGTTGCTTTGAGTGAGTGATTTAAGCGCTACTACTTTGTTAGTGAAACGTGGCACAAAAGATTTTCCTTCAGTGTATGTATAAATGAACGTATCCATGCTTGAAACCCTTTTGTTTGTTTTCCATGAACAATCGTAGAAATGGTTGAATTGAAATAATCACTGACGCTATCAAGAGCTCCCACCCCATGTTGTGGTCCGGTCTCTCATGTGGAGAAGCGTTGGCTGGGTTCCCCATCCTGTACAGAGCTGAGGTGTGGGCAATTCAAGTTACTGTCTATGGCTGAGGTCTGGAGCTAAGCCTCCAGGTCAGTATCCAGAATCAGCAGTCAGGACACAAGCTGAGGACCAAGAGTCAAAAACAGGAACAAAGAGGGCATGGAATAATATAGCCCTGGGCTTCAGTATGGACAGATCCAAAGCAACTGCCAGGTGCTGCTGTAATTATGCCAGGGTTGCTGTTTTCAGTAGCCAGTCCTACACGGTGACTAATCCCTTGCTTACCTAAGGTTAACTATGAAGACTAGTTGTCTAGCTGATGTTTTCTTGGCTTCAGCTGGAGCAGGTTCTGGCCCATGGTTGCTGCCCACTAGCCCTGAAATTCTGACACCTCTACTTCATGGAAAAGCAAGGTGGCAGAAAACCCATCCTGACCCCCAAAACCGGTCTGGTTACATGGTTATGTCAGTGACCTGGTCTCCCTGCATTTGTCTCCTGTGTGATATTCTGATGAGGCTTGTGGTATGGAAACAACTCTTTAGTATTTATAGGAACTTATGTAAAGAGCTATTTACAGTAAGAAGTAAGTTTTTATTACTGTGCATGCAAGGGTCTTGTGGTTGACCTGTTCCTATTCTACCATCCAGAAGTTCCTGATGACTTCACCAGGCTGTCTCCTGGGATGCCACACTTCCTGGGCACTTTGTGTCCAGGGGGACTTGCTCTATGTTACATTGCCCCCTTTTTATAAAATCCTAACTAGACTAATAATAACATATTAAGAAATCAACTATCAGATTCTCAGATGAATATGTCTATGTAATTTCTTTGGCTGCTTCACCAATCTTCCTGCTTTACTGTATTGCAGGCCTTGTTTGTCTAGGTCCTGGGCAGTATTTGAATGTCCAGTTGGCAGGTCAGGTTCTAGGTCAACTTGTAAATCAGTTTCAATGAGTGTTTTTATTTTTATTTCACTCATATCATCTTCATAGTCAGAGATTTTGAGCAGACGGCTGTGATTCCTTCTTAATATTTGTCCTTCGTATATAATCATGGAATATGATTGTGGTGACTCCTCTTTGATTACTTTAGCTTTAACTGGCCAAATTGAATCTCTTTTTTTAACAATGGACCGCATGGGTGTGATTTTGCCCCGTTGGTGTGATTGTGTATCTGAAAGGACAGAGAAGATTAGGATAGTACAATCACAGACTTCTTTGTCACCCTTTGTTTTAGACCTGTGTCTGGTAGTGGAGTTTTTATATTTCTGTTGTGGAGAAGTTCTGCAGGTGAATTCCCCTATAGAGTAGTGCAGCTCTGTAGATGAGTAGTGCCAAATGTGGATCTTCTCCTTCCTCCATTGCTTTATAAGCAGGTTCTTCACAATGCACACTTCTAATCCATTACCTTGACAGTATCTGGGACTGGATGACTCATGACAAAAATCATACCTTTAAGTGGTCTGGAAAATTCTTGAACCATTGTCAGTAATTACAGTTCTTGGAATTCCATAGCATGCCAATATAGATTTTATATGCCTCACAACTGTTGTTGCTGTGGTATTGTCAAGCATCACTACTTCTGAGAAATTGATGTAATAGTCCATTATCTAGTAGTAAGGTGGCCATGTCTTCCCAAACTGAACAGATCAATTCCTACTTTGTCCCATGGAATAGCAGATTCCTCATACGGCACTGGTTCTTTTTCCTGGACATCCCTGGACTTCTGCCATGATTCATTCCCCCTTAAAAGGTCTTTGATTTCACTATTCATCTGGGGCCAAAAGAAAAGATCTCTATTTCTGCTTTTTGATTTGGTTATTCCCCAATGCCCTTCATGTATTCATTCCAAAAATTTATGTCTTGTCACAGCAGGATAGTAGAGCAGTAAGATAAGGAATTTAACTCCAAGGAGTTTAAAGAATTTTCAGAGCAAATGAGACACAAATTGTTATATACAATGTCAATTGGTAGACCATGCAATCAGAAGATATGTTCTAAAAATAAGTGAGTTCTTTCTTGCACAGAGGGGAGTGTCTGAGGAGGAATGAAGGAAGTCAGCTTCAAGAGGAGGTCAACTAAGATTAACATTACAGAGAAACTGAGAGCAGAGGAGGCTGGTAATAAAAACTAGGAACAAGATGGACCCAAGTTGCAATGAGTAAGGTGACGGTTGTGGAGTCTGAGTGATTTTGAATGAGGATGCTTGGTTGTGGCCCAGAGGTTACAAGCGTGCATATATTTCTTAATATAATGATAAAGTCATAGTCTCTTAAAAGTCCCACACTATAATGTTCTAATTCTTAGACTGACCAAAATGCCTAGTGAACTGTGAGCTGTGATAGTCTCATCATTTCTAGTCAAACTCTATAAGAGACAATAGGTAAAATCTCACTGAATGCCCTGCCATTGGGATGGGAAGGTGGTATTTAGTAGATATATGTTCAGAAGATGGTAAGAAAAGGAGCATGGTATGTGTTACAGGGGAAGCAAAAAACCCATTGGTCCTTGCCCATATGACTGAGGAAAAAAAATCTGTCCTGATCCCAAATTTGGCATTCAGTATGAAAAAGCTAGGCCCATAAGCAAGGCATTTCTGGGTTTTCTAAATAGAGGCAGGAGTATTCCCTTACTAGAAACATCCAAATCGGCCAGGAACCTTTAGCTGTAGCCAGTGCCCCACTCCTTCAAAAGAAAGTGGGGACAAATTTCAGACATCAGTGTCATTCATGAAGAGGAAGAAAATCCTTCTTCTTGCCCCCTACTGGCAACCAACAAATGCCCTGAAGCATGGGGTTACCAGGCATCTACCACACTACAAGAAAGTTACCTCTACACCTCAATAAGGTGTCTGAATATAAATTATTTCATGTCACACAGACTGATTGTTGAGTCAGCACTCCATATCCTTTTATTCCATTCATTCTGTTCACTTACTGAGTTTGATCTTAAAGCAATTCAGTTCATCTCTCCCCGCTATTTGGCTTAGAACACTGCTCCAAAACTTCACTCTTCTAACAGGTGTTTTCTAATTTCCAGCCTAAATTAAGTTGTAGACTAATAGAACCACAGAAAAGCAGGACTGGAAGGGATCTCTGGAGGTCCTCTAGTCCAATCTCTTTCTCAAAGCAGGATCCTCCCTATCCTAACCATACCATACAAGTCCTTGTCTAACCTAACCAAACTGTACCCATTTTGTAGTCATTTCATCTTGTTCTGGTGTGTTTTCAGCTAAAAAGCTCTTCTCTCCCATATTCACTCCACGAATTTGTTTGTAAAGGGTAATTAGTTCTTCTCAATTTCCATTTTGTTAAGCTAAATAAGCCAATCTCCTTTAATCTTCTTCCATAAGAAGAGGTTTCCGTTCCCTTAATGATTTTAGTGGCCATTCTTTGAAGCCACTCCAGTTTGATTAATATTTTCTGAAAATTGATGACTCAAACTGCATGCAGTATTATAGAATGGGGTCAAACTGTAGGACCTGTACAAGTAACTTCTTATCTCTGAT